TGAGAGCACCAGGGATCGCTGCCCTCGCCCCACCTGTGGAGGTAACCAGACCTCAGGGAAAAGGGTCCCACAGAGAATCAGGGAAGCTGACCCAGCTCCAGGATTCCCAGGCACTCACAAAGACTCCTGTGCCCCAGGCAAAGCATAGAAGCAGAGAGCTGCTGACCTCAGATTAAGTGGGCATAGAATTGGCAGTCTCAGATGTTGCTGCTGTGGACTGAAGGTAGAGGGCTGTCCTCAAATGTGCAAGTTCTTCCTGTAGTCATACAATGTAAGGCCTTTGAATGACTCCCAGGGTGGGAGTGTGTCACAAGCTCCAGGAATGCTTGGGGGTGGCTCTCCTAATCGGGTCAGAAATTGCTCCTGCTTTAAGCACACTCATTTTAAGACAAAAAATAATTTGGTATATCCTTTCATGCTTGAATTTATGGTATAACATTTCTAATTATTTATTGTGGGAAAACAAACAAACCTGCTTTATCCCAAACTGTGATGATAAAAAGTAATCTTTTATCTTTATTTGTAAGAGTTTTGCAGTGGTGTGGGTGCATCTTCTGTTTATCCTCTGGGGGACATCTTGACCCTGTGCTTCACCATCCCCTTCCTAAAGTTATTATGACACCAGAAAAACAAATGAACCTCAGACTAAAGAGCAGGGCAAAAAAAACCATATGGAAAATGACAGCATTTTACAATGCAGAATCTCGGCAGAGTGTAAGAATATAAATACAATAATTACACATTCCAACCTTATCGGCTGCCGAGGTATCATCTAATAATGTCCCAAAATTGCCTCCCCAGCAGGTGCACTCCAAATGTAATGATGTTCTTGAAGCTTTTCTTTACAGAATCATTTCTCAAATGTGTACAAATTGCTTTGTGCCAGCATGGAGAGCCCTCTTAGCATCTCAACCCAGATTCCAGAGGAAGACTCATTAATTAGGACTTTTTCAGACAAATTCCCTCACTGACAAGGAAAACCACCATCACATTACTGAGATGATACTGAAGTTCAAACCTTGTGTGTGTGATCCCTTTGACAACCTTCAAAGTCAAAATTTTCATTCCAAAGTTTATAATCTTTCACTTTTGTTGATTTTATGTCGGGGAAAACATCTTGAGGATAGAACATCTTGGTGTTTGGTTTTGCATCCCCAACTAATTACACCTACTGTTTCAGCTTGCCATAGTTCAAAGCAGATACTCAATGTCATTTTCCCTGCTAGACTTTAGCTTGAACTGCCTAACTCATTCTTACATCTTCAGTGTCCACTGCTTGGACCATGAGAGGTACTTACTAAACTTTCTGAATAAACAAATTAATTGCATTGGTCAGTTGGTTGATTCACTGATTATCATCAATTGAAAAGACTTACTAAAATCTCTAGAAACCTCAGAAAACCCCAAAGCAGGGGATGCCGAATACATAAAATTAGCTATAATGTTTTGCAGTGAAAATAGATTTATGGTTCAGTTTAAAAATTACATTAAGACAATTGGATATGACTCAACTATTTACACAGAACTTTTCTAAAGAGAGTCATGCTATGACTGGTGTGAGGTTTACTCAGTTTCCCTGAGCTAGGGTGGTGAGTCAGATTATAAACATTAAGGTATGAGAAATTTAAGAAATAAGACACGAAAATAAGTGAAAATTGTGGTCTGGGGTTGTGTATCAGTGATAGAGTGCTTGCCTGGCATGTGGGAAGCACTGGGTTCAAGACTCAGCACCACATGAAAATAAATAAAGGTCCCTCAACAACTAATAAAAATATTTAAAGAAAAATAAGTGAAAAGTGGATACAATGGGGACCAGTTCTGATGGAAACTGGGTCTAATTCCTCAAAATGGAGTCTGTGGGCTTTATTTAAATGAGTGGGAAACCCAATGGGATTCAGTGAAAAGCTTCTTCAGGAAATGGGATGAAAACAGGGAAAACAAGTTGTTTGAGGCTTAGCAGGTTATGCCCACCTCCAGGTGACTGGGCTGTATTTGAACCTAGGACTGTGAACTAAGGCAGGGTGAATGCATAATTTGGGCATTCTTGAACCCAGGAATTTCACCCAGGAGTTCTCAGAAAAGCAACCTCCCTGCCTGGGATGGCTCAAACAAACCCATAATGAATACACGCCTCTGATAGAGTCAAAAGAGAATATGGTTGTGTTTGGAAAACGGTTTTTACCCTGATATCCTTTTTGACTCTAGTGCTAAAATTCCCTGTGCTGTGATTCTCTACTAGAGCCCGTCCTGAGCTTTCAGTTCTAGCCTCCAGTTGCCTTGGGCATATAGATCTGGTCTAAATCTGTACTCATCATTGATGTGGTGGGACCTATTGCCCCAATGAATTGCCTTGTAAGAAAGCCAAATGAGATGGCTTTTTCATAGTAGCACTTTTGTGTCAAGCTACTCCTGGTTATTTTCCTGAGGTCAACTTATTTATCTTAACTGAAACTTTGCAATCTAAACTTAGTTAGCTGAGTCAATAGAGTCAACTATTTAAAAACATATAATTTGGTGAACTCAAGGAGACTAGAATTAACCACATATCCTACATGGATATTAAAGGCTTACTGAGCATGTGTTTGTTTAGTTTGTCCAAATTTTAAAAAGTCTTTGATCAACTGAGCTTTTTTTTTTTTTTTTTTAATATTTTTTAGTTGTCGGTGGACCTTTACTTAATTTATTTATATACGGTGCTGAGAATTGAACCCAGTGCCTCACACATGCTAGGCAAGTGCTCTACCCCTGAGCCACAATCCCGGCTCCCATCAACTAAGCTTTTTTTATATCCATAATATTTACGTATTTATTTACTTTTAAAACAGTCTTGACTAAGAGTAAAAAACTTAAACCAACCAACCAAACAAAAATCAAAGTAAAACACGGGGAAGAAGTCCTCCAAGAAGCTCACAGGGGTAAAGCAGCAGGTTACTCAAGTAAACCTGACTAAAGTGTATTACTTTGCATAGGGCCCATTATTTTTATTTTATTATTTCATTTTGTTCTTTCCCCTTAGGTTTATTAAAGTATATTGACATAAATTGTATATATTTCTGGTATACAGTGTGATGTTTGACATATGCATACACTGTGAAGTGGTAAAATCAAGAGCAAATTAACGTGTCTATCACCTCACTTTTTTGTGTGCGTATGTGTGTTAAGAATATTTCAGATACATTATTTTACCAATTTACAAGCATATAATACGTTGTTATTATTAACTCTAGTTAACATGCAGTACAGTAGATCTCCAGAACTTATTTCACTTGCCTAGCTGAAACTTTGTGCCCTTTGACCAACATCTCCCCCACCATATTTTTTTTAATTAACATATATAGAATGTGGTTAGGGGTACAGAAGTTTAGTTCTGGTTGTATTCCTCAGCCATGGCCTATAGAATGATGTCCTGATTTCTTATTTAAAATAACACCAACAACAAAACAACTGTGTTCCTTAATATTGGGTCCAAATCTACCTTTAGAAACTTGTTTCTCATAAATCTTGCTAATGTTCTTATCATGTAAGCCCAAATCTTTATTTTGATAAATATACCTTGGGTCATGTTATTTCCCTTGCCTGTTTTTATCTTTTTTTTTTTTTTTTTTTTTGGTGCCATTCTCTTCTCTTATTCCTGGGTCTGTAGACTGTCTTATCTTTTCAATTTCTCTTTTGCTGTCTGTGTCTTCTTACCTTTGTTCAATTCTTCTGATTATCTTATTCCTTCTAAGCTGTAATGCATATCTGCAAGGCATTGTGCATACCTAGATCTTAATTTGGCATTTTGTACTTAGAAGGTTCTCAATTCATGCTTATAAATGGATTAACTTTTTGAACACCTAGAATTATGGAATGTGTACGAAGGTTTTAGGGTGCTGGCTGAGCCCAAGGAACTTGACTAGAAATAATAGGGCAAATTATATACACTTCTAAATATTCAAGTACCAAAGTATAGTTAGCTCTGAAATGGTGAGAAGTTTTCCTTATTCATGAATTCACTGTTAGGATAAGATATTTGGTATAGAGTTTGGTGTCAGAAAGACCAAAGTTAGCCTCATGATCTTGTGAAAATTTCATAAATAGCAATCACTACATTTGCAAAATAGGAAAATAATGGTTCCCACTTGATGGAGTTGTTGAGAGGACTCAGTGAATATGTAAAGCTTTTCACAGAGTCTGGCATGGTAAACACTCCATAAATGCTAATTAGTCAAGACTTGGTTTAATGATTTGGTCTGAGAGACACAGGGGCTTCCATATAAGAGTTTGAGCTTCAACTGTAGACTTCATAGGTAAACCCATGAAGAGTTTCATGGACTACTCTTTTTTTAAGTAAAATTCTGGTTTATTGTTGGACAACATTGTTTCACACATACATTAAACAGGCCAAAAAAAAAAAAAACAAAAAACAGCAACTTCATAGACAAAAAAAGGAAAAAACAAAAGAAATCTTTTTATCTTTGGCTTTTTTAATCATCTCATACAAACCAACTACTTATTGTACAGCTAAAGTACATACATTAAAAAAAAGTTACTGGAATGCTTGAAATAAGATTTTTTTTTGTTGCTTTTACTTTTTTTTTTATAAGGTTTTTAAATTTTTTTTTTCTCCTTTGAGATTATAATGAACATGGTCACACCACAAGTAAAGTCAGAAGCAGGACAGAGAACGCTCCAAAGGCTGGTTTGGTCATCTGAGATCATTAAAAATGGCTGATCCCTAACAATATGTACAAAAATATAACATGTAAATAAAAAATACAAACAAATTTTTCTTTTTAAAAGTATTTTTAAGAAAAAAAGCAGGCCCTTGGAAGTTTGGTTCTTTTTTCCTCCCCTGTTGCAAATTCACGTTGTGGTTTTGGTTGGGTGGTGAAGAGCGTGTGTCATCTGCAGGTGGCACTGCCAGCAATGGGCAGGCAGGCGGGCCTCTCTACTTGAAGGTGACCACGTTTAGATTCTGAACGGGAAGTGGAGGGTGAATAGGTCAGGGTGGCCTTTTATTTTTAGTTTAACTTTTCCTTTTTTGCTGTCTAGTCTCCTCATCGGTCTTCTGCTTCTTGGTATCAACATCATCATCCTCGTCATCTTCAGCTGCCCGTTTGCCCGTAGCTGCCTCAGCCTCCTCATCTTCATCTCCATCTTCTTCCTCACCACCACCTTCCTCCTCCTCTTCCTCACCACCCTCTTCCTCTTCTTCATCTACCTCATTGTCAGCCTCCTGTTCCCCATTTTCCTCATTAGCATTCCCATTAGCAGGGGCGACTCTTCCATTCTCTGCCTCCTCCACAACTTCCTTCTTCTCCTTTAAGTCCTTGGTGGTGATTTCAGAGCTAGTGTCCACGGCCGCGTCTGACATGGTGGGGCACGCAGGTGATCTGATGCAGTGGGTTAAAAAGGAAACTAGGGTTCAGGGACTCTGGCCATAAAGCTGCCGGAGTCCGCGGCGGTGGAGGTGGTTGCAGCGAGTGGGGAGCTGGACCCAGGAACAATGCAAAGATGGCTTTTCAGAGCAGCCAGTGGGGCTCATGGACTACTCTTACCTTGCTTTGGGATGGGCATCAATCTGATGATCAGCTCTATTTTCACTTTGATATTACCTTTTATCACTTCTTTAAGACCAGTGTTCCAGGAAACCATTGCTGTCTTTCTCATTGAGCATCCAAATCTCTCTAGGCTGGTGCTTCTGTCTGATGGGACCATGGAACTTGGACTTTGAGCCATTCTACTTGCTTGTCCTCCCAATACTGCTCACAAGAACTCAAGGTGCCGGAAACTCTTCCTTTGGAACAAATTCTACTTCACTAGGGGACTCTGAATTGTGTGAATGGGTCAGTTTCATGAGGGACCATTATATAACAATTACACATTTACAAGAAACAACTATAGGTCTGAGGTTTAATTCCTATGGTGAATGTGTCTTATATTAAATAATATTTTCTATTTTTAAGGTTATTTGTTATACTAATGGAAGGTGCTTTATTATAACTTACATGTATTTTAGATAAATCATAATCTATGAGATAAGTAAGTAGTTCACTTATTTTTAGCAGATGAAACAGGTTCATAATAGTGAGAATTTTTGTGTGTGAGGAAAACTTTTTATGAAAGGATTACTGCTATGAGACTTCTCATTTGAAGGATTATACAGTTACCCAAATCTCCCGTGTTCATTTTGATAAACCAGGCCTGGAATATGGACAAGAAGCTTTTACTACTGCAATGTGGAAGTAATGACATAATCCCAACTTTAAGTGACATTCTCCTCTTGTACACTTAGCATTTTTGTAACAATTTCTCCAAACTACAGAAAAAAAAAAGTGCTGAAATATGAATGCTCTGAATGAGCCATGTTTCACTCAAGGGAATTAAGTTATCCTTATTTCCATGGGCTGTTGAACCCAAGCATTTGATTTATTTCCTGTCGTCTGTTTTGTAGATGGTATTTTGAAGGATGCAAGAATGGAAGTGAATTTTTGTAACACTGTGGAGCTGCAAAGAATATTAGGGATCATCCCCAATACAAGAAGCCCCACTACATCCACAAGACACTGATGAATGATAACTAAATAGTGGAAAGATCAGTAGAGTAGAGGAGAGGGAACAGGAGGTGGTAGTAGGAGGAGGGGAAGGGGAAGTATTGGGGACTGAATTAGAACAAGATATATTCCATGCTTTTACAGTTGTGTCAAAATAAATTCTATTGTACAGTTGAAAATAATCAATAAAAAAAGAAGCCCCACTGTATTGAAAGGAAGAGTCTGACAGTGGGCTTGAACATACATTTTTAATAAATATTTTCTTTCTTTATTTTTATGTGGTGCTGGGGATCGAACCCAGTACCTCACATGTACGAGGCAAGGGCTCTACCCCTGAGCTATAACCCCAGCCCCTGAACATGCATTTTGCACAGTTTCAATGATGTATTAACTAACTCACCACTTTGGCCTATTTAGTTTTCAAACAGTTTGAATTATTACAAAATTCCTTCCCTTCGTCTCTTTCTCTACCTTTCCTCCTCTTGTTGTAAGTGAAAATCTGATTTTTATCTTTTTATCCAAAAGCTATATAAAATGATCCAGATCTTTTTTCACACAGACTCCCTTTTGTGATTGACACCAACTCTCAGTGTAGCCCCGGGGTGTGGTGTCAAAGATAGACATTCAGTGTCATCAGCCCTTTTTCAACAACAAGTGTCTTGGCCTTTTGCTCTTCTGGGGACACTTCTCTGAGGCTGTTTATTTTATCATTGTCGCTCTCAATAAGGGGAATCCAGGCTGAAAGGAAGAGTCTGGATGTGGTCTGACTAGTGTTGGGAAGAGTAAATTGTGCTTCCCAAGTCCTAAACAATCAAATGTATGATATGTCAAGGTCATTATACTGTCATGTGTAACTAATTAAAACAAATTAAAAAAATAAAATTCTATCAACTATTAATAGAGCTATTAAATGCATGCTTCTACCAAATTTGTATTTATATCACATATTATTAATTTGGATCATGATGGCAGCTGAAACTCATGATTCTTTTTTCTTATAACAGGAATATAATATTGTTTCTAATATATATATATATATATATATATATATATATATATAGACAGATAAGAAAATGGAAAAAAAATCACTTAGGTAAGATCTTCATACATTAAAAGTTTATGAATTAGTCATATGTCAATGATGGGGACACATTCTGAGAAATGTATAGTTAGGTGATTTTGTCGGTGTGTGAATGTCAGAGGATCCTTGAACTACAGCAGATACAATTTCACTAAGTGATAAATCATGCAGGACCATGCATTATTTGTTATCAACCAACACATTATTATGTGGCACATGACTCCACTTAAATACATATATATTGCTTATATGTTTTATAAAAGTGAATAATATCAGACATAGTACTTTATGGTCTGCTTTTTCAACATTTTTTACATTGTAAAAAATCTTTCCATGCTAGTAAATATGAAATGACTTTATTATATTTAGAGTTTTCACAGTATTCCTTTGTATGGATATACCATGGTCTATTTAACCATTTTTCTATTGATGGTTAAAGTTGTCAAACTTTTTTTTTCTATAATAAACATGCTGTGATGAATAGTTTTGTTCATACTTATTTGCATACAGATTTGACAATTCCCAGTAGGAATTTATATCAGAATATGCATAGCTCCAGAAAGTGTTGGCCAGTTTCAGTTACTGTAGTAGCTTACTAGATCCTCTGTATCAAAAGTCTTATCCATCTTCAGGTGTGTGCTTGATGTTAAGAGTTTAGAATAATTAATTAATATAAACTTTCATTCTTTTATTATTTTTTTAACCTATCAATATCTTTTTGAATCATCTTAAAACTTTGGGTATTTCATTCTGTTTTTTTGTCATATACAAACCTACCCAATGTGTTCTGTCTTCAAATTTTGGATAAAAATGTCTTTAGGATAATGACAGAGCTTCACCATATCTTAGTCTGGTTTTCCGTAAAGAGAGCCAAGGATTGGCGTGTAGGTGATTTGTCTGGACGATGATTGTAAGAGGAATGATGAAGTGGGAAGAGTGAGGCAGGAAAGGAGGAAAACCATGTGGGATTTTATAGGCATCCAGCACTCTGCTCCAAAGAGTCCCAAGAGGTGCCAGGAATATCTCCTAGAATTGTCTGTAAGGATAGAACTATGTAGCATATATCCACTGGTATATATTATCCCCAGAGGAAATGATATAACTTCCCTTCCTCAAGAAAGAGAAGTCCCCAAGTGTGGGGAGCCACCCCTGAGCTATTTGAGTGTCTTCACTTGGCCTTGGAGCCAAGGAGATTTAGGTTTGGCATTGCAAGCTATTTTGTGGCTCCTCCCACTTACCATTAAGTGCATGCTCGTGACTTCTGTCTTTACTGAGTTAGAAAGACTGATCTTGTAGCTCCAGAGTTGGGTGTGACCCACTGGGAACTGGGCAGCCCACCTCCTACCTAAATTGGCTAAGAACATTCTGTAGAAAGCCTTTGAAGTTACCCCATATAAATAAGACAAATGTTGGCTCTCATGTGCTCTTTCCAGCGTGGAAGCTCCACCCTTAAGGTCGAAGAGCCATCCTGCCCCCACTCTTTAAAACTATGTTCTTTTTTGCCATATTTCTCAGCCAGCCCACTTCACAAAGGGGAACCCAGTTTCTGTTGCCTACATGGGCTCTAGTCAAGACCCAAGAAAGAAAATGAAGGACTCATAAGGCTCACTGGCTTGGGTAAGATTTTACAGTGAAGAGAAGCTATCCTGCAGATTTTCTGCTGATCTAGCTGTGTATAGATCAGAGAGGCCTGGAGGATGCTACTACTGTGGTGTACTACAAAACCACAAAAGCTTATGTCCGGGTTGGCATTAGTCCCCAAATCAATGTTTAATTAGCATGCATTTCTCCATCTTTTCTATGAGGCTTTATAGGAGATTTAAACAAGCGTGTTGTAGAAATCAAACCCACAGCTGATAATCTCTGCTTCACTATCAGTTTAATGGCTATAGAAATAGGGCAAGGTGAGGCTGAGGCAGGAGGATCACGAGGTCAAAGCCAGCCTCAGCAAAAGTGAGGTGCTAAGCCACTGAGATCCTGTCTCTAAATAAAATACAAAATAGGGCTGGGGATGTAGCTCAGTGGTTGAGTGCTCCGGAGTTCAATCCCTGGTACGGCCCCTGATCCCCTCCCACCCCCCCCCCCCCCCCCCCCCGGCAAAAAAAAAAAAAAAAAGTGACATTTATATGACTTAGTGAACTCAGGCAGGCTCCTGAGAACAGTGTTTTTCCTAAGTGTTTATAACCAGCTGTTTATTAATGTGTTTTAGAGTTTTACTAGTGATTAATATCCATGGTCTAATGCATAGGTGTGTGAGATATGATTCCCTGCCGTATGCCCTTCACTCTAAATTGCATGGTATCTGCCTACCTGTTCTGGTCCCTGGAGAATTCACTATGAACCTTCCAGGATTGTGATGGTGGTTTTTGATAACTAAAAATGTGTTCAATTTTTGGTTCCTGATTTATCTTAGCCTGAATTTTGAATTTCTTTGGTTTAACAAGCTTCTCTCATTGTGAGTACTTGTTGGTCTATGTGCTTCTAAAATATCTGATCCTCACAGTTGGGAAACTTGAACTTCCCTTACAAGGGCAGGTGATTTGCTGACTTAGCATCAAGTTCTTAGTATTTCAGGAAACTTGGAGATGCAACACGAAGTTAGATTCAGTAGTATTCTTACTCTGACCTGGGTTACCCCCAAGGTTTCATTTGTAGTCTCCTTTACTTGTACTTGATTTCCTATCTTACTAAATGGTTCAGCACTTTAATCCATTAATTATTTTGGCTCTACTTTACTTTTATCCTGTTCTCCAAGAGTCACAGTCCTGTTTCACAACCCCAGTAG